GGTATGTTTAAACAACCCTTGAACTTAGGGGACCTGGGAAGCCAAGTTCTTTTCACCTGCTTAGCCCTTGGACCCCAACCTGTAGCTCACACTCCGCAGATTTATCATGTCCTTATCTACATGTAGATATGATGCCTAAAGTCTAAAAGGAGGGTATGGATTACCAGCAAGACATGATCCTGTTCACGAACCCCTGATTTCCAGGCTGTTACCATACCTCTCCTCCAGATAGGCGCGGAGAGCGGGCAAAGCCTCCATGGACCTGGTGCATTGGTGTGAGGTTTGGCATTTAGATTTTGGGATTGTAAATTTGAGGCCCAGTGTTCAGGCCTGCTGCACTCAAGGTGAGAGTCACTCTGGCTTGTAGAACAGCGGGTGGAATAAAAGTGCAAAACAGGTTGGACTCCGCTTCCTGGGCCAGCGCCGAGACGCTAGTTGCCTACAAGGAAAAAATCAAGAAATGCACTTCAAACATCAAATTTACAATGTTGGCAATGATTGGCTCGGGCTTTGGGCTTCGGCGCTTCCAGGATGGAACTCATGCTTGCCAGTTTCGGGTCATATTGCTGAAGGCCATTTGGTGATAAGTTTGAAATCTGTAGCTTGGTGTCATCCACGGTTCTTGCACTACTTGCCAATCTTAAACCTTCAGCTCCCTGGCCCTCAACCCTCATTGAGACCATGAGGGCATCTTGGCAGCCTGGATTCTATTCGATCCTTGCATGCTCTCCCGAAGAACCTCTACGCCCTAACCCGTAAACACTCTCACTAGGCTTCTGTGTTATGTTTGCAAAATCTTCAGCCTGCTGTCGCAATTGTCGAAGAAGAGCGGGGCACCCTGAACCCCGGGCATGCCCTAGTAAGGGATTATTCATAGCAAAATTGGGAACATGCGTAAATTGGACTCGGAAAGATGTGGAGAATGATGTTTGCGGTACCCCTGGACATTGACCCCTCTGCCAAGACTCTCCATCCACTGCGCAAGGCGATCAGGAACACACTGAGGCTCCACCAGCCTGCGGCATAGCATAATGAAATCGAGCAGAACTCGACCCAGAAAAGTGGGAACCTGCGGGCTCATGCTTACGTCATTGCTCCGAAGCTTGCACTTGCGTGTGGGGTCAAAGCCTGAGTCTAATGTGGGTATCTGTTTATGTATGCCTGCTAGTGCTGCCCCGCACCTGCACACTCGTTTCTTTGGTGTTGGGTTGTGGAGGAGGAGGAGGAGGAGTCAATACAAATGGGACCGTCGGCCACACTGTGTAAACCGTCAGAAACATGTCTCCAGCCAACAAAAAGAACCCGGGCAGTTCTGCAGGAAATGCCATCAACAGCGGGCTCCCAAGATTCGATTCTAACCTCAAAGTCTCGGCTGGTGTTCATGTTTGCCTCATTGTCGAAGCTTCATATGCAAACAGGCAGAGCACTGGCTTCTGAAGAAGCAGGAAAGGAGAACAAGAACGGCAAAACGAGGATGAAGTCAAATAGCTGCCGCAGCTCCAGATTCTGGGAACAAGACATATCGGGGAAGCAATCCATGGAACTGACAGACTCAATCCAAGCCTGCACTCCAAGCCCCGCACTCTGAAGCTAAGACCTCAGACCACGATCTGCATATCCAAGGCCTGGAACCCATGGGACCCATGACCCTAAACACTGCACGAAGCACCCATCACCCATCCCCAAGCCGCAGGTCCCAAATCCTTTGCGCAACATCAGCGCCTGGCATTTGAGAGGTGATGGTAGACGTTGAAGTCTGCCTTTACAAGAATGCTGGGCCACAAAGTGCAAGCAGGCTCCCCACAGAGTCCTGAGCGAAATGAATATCAATATCCACAGGCATGACTGTAACCAGAGCCTTCTTTCAGCTCTTTCAGCCGCCAGAGTGAACAAACAACAAGGAGTTTGGCGTCGATGAGACAGTGCACAGCAGGAATGGTTGGGTGTTGAGTCCTTGCAGGCATGAAACAGGCTGCCGGTACAGGACAGCACGAAACCCTGTTTCAACACTGCAGTTGATGGACAAAATCCTGCACGACCCTAAATCATGAACAGGTTCGGGCAGTGACCGGGCCAGACGAACCCTACCAGCTTGGTTGAAGCTATGATAGTGGGTGAACCAAACTGACAACTTGTGGATGCTTCGGCTTAAGGACTTGGGAAGGCAGGGGAGGGCATGGAATGGGAGTCTGCAGTCAAGGAGTTTCCAGCCTGCCCCGTATGTCCCACAGTCAATCTTCGGACATTCTGCATATACATATGAAGCTTATATGATCTTATACGACCTCAGGTAAGAGTGAGACAGTGGTCTGCAGGAGCCACCCTGAACCCGAAGCGTACACCCTAATTGCACAAGCAAGGTGCATGGCTGGGCGCTGTGCCCCCAAAGAAGTCTGCAGACAAAAGGCGCTCGATATTGGCCAGGTGCCTGCATTTGGAGCAACTGGATCTAGCATTTTGGGGGTCAGAGTTATGGTACCCGGAGCTTGCGAAAATTTCAGCCTTCGGGGGGCTGTGGAGATGGGGCTTGCTGGCTTGGGGCTTGGAATTTACAATTGCAGCCTTGAGTATCTCAACATGGGAGATGGGCTTTGGGGTCTGGGTGGGTCCGAAGCTTGCAACCAACACAACATCCGTGTTTGTGGAGCCCATAGTGCTGTGTACAAGCATAAGTGTAAGTATAGGTCATAACCTGGCTGTGACTTGCGCGACTTGCTGCCAAGACTGGATGTGCATGATTTGTTTTATCCCTCATCTGACGGGTTCAACCATGCATACTTAAGGGGCTCAGTACTTGATATGAGTGTGACATGATGGTCTAAATAAGTTGATAGGTTTTGAGAGTGGACTATGCTATCACTATGCAATGAGCAGAGGCGCCGTGTGCCCCTACAGTAAGCTTAGCTTCCAAGCTCCAAATCAAACAGGCGCTCAACCCGAGGCTAGCGCCTGTTCTGGACCTTCTGTCGCAAGCTGTTTTGATCTTGGAGATTGGGCCGGGGCCGCGGGCTTCTTGTGCAAAGTGGCTGGCTCTGGCACAAGCAACAAGCTTGCATTGCTCCATTGGTCTAGATCGACGCCAGTCTACCGTATATAGCCTGGATAAGAAAACTCTTCAGACGCTTCTCCAAAATGATTGTTGAATGGAAGTCTTAGAGTCAGAGCAGGCCTCGGTAAGTCTCACTGGTCACTTGGATCCAAATATGCAGAATTGCAGCCCCTGACGTGTCAACCAAGGCGAAACTGCACAAATGGCATTCTCATTCGATAAGGTAATGGCTCTGAGTCCTGGAGTTCCAGCTTCGTCACGTCATCAGCTGATTCTGAGAAACCGCAGCAGCTGATTCCGGGGTGAAGTGCGCATAAATAAAAAAAGACAGGTCACAAGACTGTTCCCAGCGCCCAGCTCAAGCTGTAGCTTCAAAACCCTCCGAAAACCCAAATACGACCCCTTTTCCAACCACCAGTGTTCTTGATTGTTCTCCTCTGTTACAGGATGCTGTAATGCCATTGCATGTTCCACGCAGGGCATGTTCTCCATCTTGTCAGAGCTCCCTCTTCACCTACCCCGCGAACATAGAACTCACTGCACTAGTTGTCTTCGGAGGGGCTTCAATGCAACAGCTGCAGTGTAAGAAAGAGCTGGGCAAAGAATGCATTCCAGCCCCAGACCTCTGGAAATCTTTCATGCGCTGCTGGCTCCTCCTCCTATCAGAATGGAGGCCCCCTTGCCTTCTGTGATGGACCAAGCCGCCTTAAAGCCTTTTGAACCCTGCCGCGTTCGTTACTTCATGGATCGCGGCTTAATCGTACTGGGGGATATGATACTTCACGCTGTACGCATGCAGCGACTGACCCCTTGAAAAAACGAAGAAGAATCACCAGCCGCACAGGGATGCCCACGCAAGAACATGAGTCTTACTCCCCTACTGGCCCTGACAAGCAAGGAAGTGTTGCAGTTTCTGTTGTTTACTGGGACTCTCGTTCCCAAAAAATGTTGGATGCACTTAGTTGAGCTTCTTGCACGGAGCCCTGGTTATCCTACACTCCTACACATCTGCAACTCACCAAAACCTCCAAATGATCTATATACTCTCCCAGTAGAATTCCAACGGAAACATTAAACCATCAAACCAATTCAAAAGCGAGTCAAATCTGCTGCCTGGGCAATGTCGAAAAGTACCACTGCTTGACCTGGTTGGGCAGTTGCGACGGCCACGGAGCATAATTCTGATGGGAAGCCTCAGCCCCTCCGGGCAAAACACATGTGCCCATGATCTCTCTGGGCAAGTCTCCATTGGGGAGAATGTAAGGAAATCAAAAGGGGAAGATGTCCAGTGATGAGATGTGTAAGCACTTCGTAGATTGGAAACACCTTTCAACCAGTTCTGATTTGCCTTTACATCCTGTCAAGCCTCAGAAAGTGGAAGCCTGCATGGATCTCAATGATAGGCAGGCCACTTACTCTAAGCCCGGTTCCAGGAGGAAAGACCTCTCCTAAGCGAACAGACAGAACAATGTATCCAAAATCCTGAGTTTCGCGGATGCACACTTTTTTTTGGGTGGTGCTTTTGGAAGGATCGGCCCAACGCCTTGAGAGTTGCAAGGCCAGCTTTTAGCTTTCTGAACAAATATCCAGCGAATGGCTCACACCTACCTTTCGCAACCATGGAGGTCTAAAAAGAAACGAATATTCCCAACGTTTAGGGAGCAAGTTTTAGGTTCAAGCCTCACCTGTCAAAGTAAGAAGGACATGAGGACGGATACCCACTCAACAGAAGGAAGCTACCCTGGCCTGGCAAAGAACAAGCCAAAAAGGGGCACAAACCTTACAAAAATTCCTCGGTATCTTGCAAAGGAAAGTGTGGCATCCTCAAACCCGGTGTCCACCCTTCTTTTGCTCCCTGGCCATGACCACGTTCCTTGGTAATCGGCCCTCAGCCCAAGAGCTACTCCCATAGCAGCAGCAAACATGCCCGCCTGGACGAACTCTCTGCCAGTGTAACCTGAGTCATACGTAGGGTTGGATGATGCGGCAGGGGGTTTCTCGCAATTCGCAAGCCTGACGCTGCAATGTTTGCAGCGGAATGATTTCTTAAAAAGATAAAAAGGATAGACTTGCAGCCATCTGTCTTGCAAACATTTGATATGCCCCAAGATTTCTACCGGTTTGTCACATGACCTTTGCGCGATCACATGTTGTCAAATACCCCATCACTGGTCGAGGAACAGTTGATAAGCGGGTTGATGGTGCAGAGCTCCTGACCCACATCGCAGAGATCCGCTTTCTCGCTCTGTTTTGGATTTAGTCTGCAGCATTTCGATTGCAAGGTTTGGATTCAAGCCAAGTTCTTGTGCATCAAACCCTACCAGTCAACACCTGGGGAATATACATACAAGCGCCTTTGCAAGGGTCCCTGCACATACGATCCTTCACCCAGGAAACTTGTCCAGAGTTACCCAATTTCTGGTGAAATCCAGAGGTAATTTCAGATGCCGGAGCTCTGAGGATCTTGCGTAGAATGCAAAGTAGGAGACTAAACGATGCGAATCTTCGGGGATGTTTGAGGTGTATTCTGTGGTGAGACACATGAACATTCTCAACAACTGATGCTCCTAGATTGGGTCTTGAGGCGCAGTCATCGGAAGGAGGGCTCATTGAAGGCCCTGGGTCATGGGGGCATAGAAGAACATTCTCAACAAGGCGCAGATTGACATAAGCCTCTGGAAAAGAAAACTCTGGCAGGATAGTGCCGGGACATGGTCAGGCAAGCCTCGCTCTCGTCCACTGAAAGTGCTACTAATTCTAAAACAAGTTTCTACGATTCCTTTTCATTGCAGAACATATGCGGGTGATACAAGGACACATGAACCGTTGCGCAAATCAACCTGAAGTGGGCTCAGAAAATGGTACGTGCTATCCTCCTAGCTGGGTGGCGGGAAAGACAGAGACCTGTTTGCCCCAAAGATTTGCGAAGTCAGTGCTTTTGAGGATGGCGACGACGAGGATGCTGCTGCTGCTGCTGCTCCTCC